AGGGCTGGGGGGTAGGAGTGTCTATGGGGGGACACAGGCAGGGCAGTGGGGTAGGAGTGTCTATGGGGGGCACAAGCAGGGGGGTGGGGGGCTACCCCCTCTCCCTGCTGCGGGGGGTGTGTGGAGAGAGCGCAGGGAAGGCGTGGAGGAGGGGGGTGGCTGTTGGGTGTCTGAGGGGCACAGGGAGGGGGTGGGTGAAGGGAGTTATACTCCTCGCTGGATGACTGTGTGAGGGTCATAGGGAGGGGTGTGAGACCCCTCCCAGCATATGAGTGGAGCTAGTGGGGGGGTGCCTGCATGCTCAGGGATGTGTGGTGTGTGCGCACCTAGACGCAGTGCCTTTCTCTTCAGGGAAGCAGATGTCCATAGGAGGCAGGTATGTGGGAAAGCTGATTTGGGAGGGGGCAGGTGTGCGCTGTGTTTTGAAGGGATGATTTTGAGAAGTGACTGTGGAGCTGTCTGGAGGAAATGTTTTCTGGGGGAAAAGTTGGCTGTGGGCAGAGTGGAGTGATTATGCCCCCAAGAATTCCTCACTATTTACCTTCACAACAGTAGATTGTTTCATGTTCCTTTGCTGGCTGCAGTTGGATGTGTGCACCGCAAAACCTGAAGAACCTCAGTCTGTTCACCAAATTCACCTGTACTCCTTCCCTAAGAAGCATGAAAGATTACACCAGGGTTCATCCGAGACAGTTAATGCTCTGCTATATTGAGTGTGCATTCCAGTCCTTTTCCTTGTTAGCAAGGGCTGGAGGTGCAGCTAGTGCTGCAGGCTGTTCACCTTCAGAGGGGGAGAGTGGTGGTAAGTGATTTCACTGGGGCAGCAAGGAATAAGAGGTTACTGGGTGGGTTGCTGCATTCAGGACTGTGATGAAGTAGTGGATGGTGCTCCATCCTGTGCAGAACCCAGTGTCCCTAGTTCTGAACCAGTTGGGATTCTACATGGGCTCTTTCCTGTTTTTATTCCCCAGGAGCAGCAGCCAAGCTGGACAGATGACTTGCCCCTCTGCCAGCTGTCTGGGGTGGGCTCAGCTCCAAACCGTTCCTACAGTGCAGATGGTAAGGGGACAGAAAGCCACCCATGGGAGGATAACTGGCTGAAATTCAGGTAAGTGGGCTGCAGGTGGAGATAGAAGCTCACAGACGGAGAGGCAGGACAGAAGTGGTGTGTGGCTTTTTACAGTAGGGGTCAGAAATGGGGCAGAATTAGAGTGTACAAGACTTGTTAGGAGAGGCTCACAGTGGTGCTATCCGTCCCTGTTGTTGTGCCTCACACCCGCCCTTAACCCCTCCACCCTGACCCTCTCTGGCAGGAGTGAGAACAACTACTACCTCTATGGGGTCTTCAATGGCTACGATGGCAACCGGGTCACCAACTTCGTGGGCCAGAGGCTCTCCGCGGAGCTGTTGCTGGGCCAGCTAAGTGCAGATCACAGTGATGCTGATGTGCGCCGGGTCCTGCTGCAGGTAATGGAATTCTGGCTGTGGAGACCCCATGCCTCCCCCTGCAACAACATCCCACTCCCCTTTTTGCCTCTGGGTAAACAATGTCCTGCCTCTTAAAGGGCGGGGAGAAGATTGTGGACATCTGGCAGGAGCTGGG